AGACAACTACTAAAATTAATATCTGCCACAAAATTTTGCAGTGTTGAAGTATGCAAGCTATGCTGCCTTCCAGGATGTTCCATTCCACCACTCCTCATCTAAACTCTCATCCCTGCCAACAGTTCATCAGCATTCCAGGCCAAGTCAGCATTTATATCCCAAGTCAGCATTTATGATTTATATCCCACCTTTTTCCATTTTTTAAAGAACTCAAAGCTATTCAATATCATTCTTCTCCTCCTCTCAGCCCTATCTTCACAACAATCCTGTGAGGTTGGTTGAGCAGAGAGTCTGCAACTGGCCCGAAGTCAGCCTGTTGACTCCATGGCAGAGCGGGGACTAGAACCCAGATTGCCTGAGTCCCAGATCCACACTCTTAACCACTACACCACGCTGGCTCTCAGGCTTCACTTGCTTGCATACCAAAAACCCACTGGATAAAGCAGTCTGCCTGTTGGAATAAAGTCAGCTAAGAAAAAGCAAACTTAGCCTCCCTTGGGTAGGAGTTGCCACTGAGATGGTCCTCTTTCACAATGTAACCAGATTCATATCTGAAGTGAACTTCAAAGAAGACTCTTAAGAACAGGCAGACTCATACGAGAGAAGGCAGTCTTTTAGGTAGCTTGAGACAAGGGCTTGTTTCTTGAAATGCTACTTTTCTAAATGAAAAAGCTGGCCAAATAATTTTCCTGATCATATATGTAACAGTTTGGAGACCGGGTAATTAATTTCACAACATTATAATTGTACTTTTTCATGCTGCATGTTGTAAAGTATGGTCTGTTTCCTTCTCTGTCGTTCCCATGTGGTCACCTAAGAAAGCAGGGGTAAGAAATAGGAACAGAAGGGTATTTCCATCTTATTGTTAAATACATTGTGTCCTTCATTTAAACAAACCTTCCGAAAATCTGAAGCCCAATCTATCCCATAGAGATATATTATATGTTTGAATTTTCTAAGAATCTAGTGCCTTTCAGCACAGCATCCTTTAATCAGTGAATTAGATGTTCATATTCTGGTGGGACGAATGGAGAACCTATTGTGCTTCTGTTTGGTGGACTAGCTTCTCGTTTTTCCCATCCATAAGAGTAGGACTCAGCCCCCGAAATGAGAAGCAGTAAACAAAAATGAAACAAGCAAATGCAGCACACCTGTCGCTGCTGTATCACTGTGACCTGTTACCATATTTTCCATATCATAGTTCTATGCAGTTACCAAACCAAATGCAGCCTACTGGCTAGCTGTAATATTTGCATTCCACTCTTTAGGGCTCAAATGTGCTAGTTCTGTGGTTTCCTAGGACTTGAAGAAAGGGAGCATGTCAAGTTCTTGATGAGCCATACTACATTGCTGGTGGGCTGAAACACTTTAAGTGAAGAGTCTCTTGACCCAAAGTTAGAAGTTGTGGCTCCTTGATAAGGATGAACCATAGCTCACAACTTATTGTTTACTGAATATAATGTTCAGCCATTTTCAAGGAGGGCCATTAAAATATAATTTAAAAATATAACTATCTCTGTAAAATATAATTCCCTGTGCCTACTTTTCTAGTTTACTCATTTGGTTCCCAAAAGCTGGTATGGGAAAAGGTGGGCCATAAAAGATGTATGAATAATCATTATCATTAGTGGCACTCCTACCCATACAGTGCCTCTGTATGCTTTTGAAGCAATGAACTGTAAGCACTGTAACTGGTTATATGTTGTCTGTTCTCTCTCTGTCTTTGTTTATTTAAAGGCTTATTTTGCATGAGTTTGTTGTACTGAAGTTAGCCTGACCTGTCTTCTTAAACAGTTTGCTTTATGTTGCAGAAATATGATGCAATTGTTTGCTTCAGAATACTTAATTAGTATATTGTACCTATGACGATAGTGCTTAAAATGCTGCTTAAAAGTCTTTCCTTTCATATGCATTTTATTTGAGGAGGAATAATGGAGTTGAAAAGGATCATTCAGGCTATCAAATCCAACCTCTGCCCAGTGCAGGGATCTGGTTCAAAACATCCCTGATAGATGGTCTTTACTTGAATACCTCTAATGATGACCCTAGAGCCTCTAGATGTGTTGGTTCCATTGTCTTACTGTTAGGGATTTTGCCTCCCTGCAACACAAACCAATTGTTTTGTGTCATACAATCTTGAATAATAGGTAACTGGTTGTGAGGCTTTTCAGGTATTTGGAAAGTACTATCATATCTGCCCTCAGACTTATCTTTATACAGTATATCACAGAAGTGAGTACACCCATCACATTTTGTAAATATTTTATTATCTCTTTTCATGTGACAACCCTGAAGAAATGACACTTTGCTACAATGTAAAGTAGTGAGTATACAGCTTGTGTAACAGTGTAAATTTGCTGTCCCCTCAAAATAACTTGTTTTGTGAGCCGCCCCGAGGCTTCGGCGAATGGGGTGGCATAGAAATTTTATAAATAAATAAATAACTCAACACACAGCCATTAATGTCTAAACCGCTGGCAACAATAGTGAGTATACCCCTAAGTGAAACTGTCCAAATTGGGCATTATTAGCCATTTTTCCTCCCTGGTGTCATGTGACTCGTTAGTGTTACAAGGTCTCAGGTGTGAATGGGGAGCAGGTGTGTTAAATTTGGTGTTACCGCTTTCACTCTCTCATACTGGTCACTGGAAGTTCAACACTGCACCTCATGGCAAAGAACTCTCTGAGGATCTGAAAAAAAGAATTGTTGCTCTACATAAAGATGGCCTAGGCTATAAGAAGATTGCCAAGACCCTGAAACTGAGCTGCAGCACGGTGGCCAAGACCATACAGCGGTTTAACAGGACAGGTTCCACTCAGAACAGGCCTTGCCATGGTCGACCAAAGAAGTTGAGTGCATGTGCTCAGTGTCATATCCAGAGGTTGGCTTTGGGAAATAGACGTATGAGTGCTGCCAGCGTTGCTGCAGAGATTGAAGGGGTGGTAGGTCAGCCTGTCAGTGCTCAGACCATATGCTGCACACTGCATCAAATTGGTCTGCAGGGCTGTCGTCCCAGAAGGAACCTCTTCTAAAGATGATGTACAAGAAAGCCCACAAACAGTTTGCTGAAGACAAGCAGACTATGGACATGGATTAGTGGAACCATGTCCTGTGGTCTGATGAGACCAAGATAAACTTATTTGGTTCAGATGGTGTCAAGCGTGTGAGGTGACAACCAGGTGAGGAGTACAGAGACAAGTGTGTCTTGCCTACAGTCAAGCATGGTGGTGGGAGCGTCATGGTCTGGGGCTGCATGAGTGCTGCTGACACTGGGGAGCTACAGTTCATTGAGGAAACCATGAATGCCAACATGTACTGTGACATACTGAAGCAGAGCATGATCCCTTCCCTTTGGAGACTGGGCTGCAGGGCAGTATTCCAACATGATAACAACCCCAAGCACACTTCCAAGATGAGCACTGCCTTGCTAAGGAAGCTGAGGGTAAAGGTGATGGACTGGCCAAGCATGTCTCCAGACCTAAACCCTATCGAGCATCTGTGGGGCATCCTGAAATGGAAGGTGGAGGAGCGCAAGGTATCTAACATCCACCAGCTCTGTGATGTCGTCATGGAGGAGTGAAAGAGGACTCCAGTGGCAACCTGTGAAGCTCTGATGAACTCCATGCCCAAGAGAGTTAAGGCAGTGCTGGAAAACAATGGTGACCACACAAAAGATTGACACTTTGGGCCCAATTTGGACAGTTTCACTTAGGGGTGTACTCACTTTTATTGCCAGCGGTTTAGACATTAATGGCTGTGTGTTGAGGTATTTTGAGGGGACAGCAAATTTGCACTGTTATACAAGCTGTATACTCACTACTTTACATTGTAGCAAAGTGTCATTTCAGGGTTGTCACATGAAAAGAGATAATAAAATATTTACAAAATGTGAGGGGTGTACTCACTTCTGTGATATACTGTATATCCAGTTCTTTAAGTCATTCCACACAGTACTTAGTTTCTAGTTCCTGATCATCTTGAATGCCTCGGCACTTGTTCCAAATTATCTGATTCTTTCTTAAAGGATTAACCACAATATTTGAGATGAGATCTGACCAGCACAGTGTAGAATGGAACAATTACTTCCTGCAATTTAGAAACTATACTTCTGTTGATGCAGCCTAAAATTGTTTTGCCTTTTATTGCAGCCACACCAGTCTGCATGTTTATAACCTTTCAGAAGCCATCATGGCTCTTTTTCCCCAGTGACTGTATAAACTTGGCCAATGCCTTTAGGTTTGGCTGCATTGTACAAGGTTTTTAAATACAACTTAAAACTTTAACTGTTTTTATGCTTGCTGCTGAATCAAGACAGACTCTTCAGCTCCTCACCCCACAAAAACTCACGGAATAAGTGCACCATCTAATGAATTTTTACATTTTTCCTGGCCCCTCTCTTCTTACCCTGTATATTTGTGTTATGATTCTTTTTCTGTGGTTCACCCTTTCAAGGGGTACTATTATTATTACATTCTTACTATTATACTGCTGACACATTTTAATTTTAAAAGGTGCTGTCCTGAGCTTTAGGAACATGGAAAGATTTAATGAAATATTATTTTGATATATTTAGTATTTGACTCTCTTACAGCAGTCTCCTTGAAACTGGATTGGCTTAAGTAGAACTGCATGCATTGTGACACAAATTAAAACTGAACCCAGAAGATACGAATTTTGTAAGAACTATACATCTCTAGATGAACTGACTCATGTATGTTGACAGCTAAGGACTAAAATAATAATTGGTTACAGCTACTTCTGAAAGAGCATACATATCACTATTAAGAGTCTAAGTCCTAACCATTAAATTTCATATATGTTGCATTTTTTCATAGCGAGATTGCTTACTTAGGTTTCCTAATTACAGTTAAACAGTAAACCCAATTTGGCTAATGTTTATTTCTGTAAATTTCACTTTCCCTTGCAGTGCTTGTTAATTTACATGTGGAGACAACTATGTGGATTTTTACAAATGTTATATCTTTACCTTTGATTGCAGAGGGCATGTTGGTGTTCCTTGGAACAGAAACTTGTGATACTCCTTCCAGAAAACTGAAGTCATAACCGAAGGTGAAAGTGGGAACCACAAGTCCTCACTTTGCTGAAATTGGCTGGAATTGCAGGAGACAGACAGTTATAAAGAAGTGGAAAATATTGTTTAGAAATCAGACAGGAATTAATTAGTTTTGCCACACGTGTTAAGCCTGATGGATACCATAGAGACAGCAAAGCTTGAAGAGCACATGGAAGGTCAGAACAATGAGACTGCAAATGGGTATGTCCGACCTGCTCTGACTGTCAGTGAGGAAAACAAGAATGGCAGCACCAAACCAAAGAGCTTATCCAATGGTTTGCGCAAAGGTGCTAAAAAATACCCAGACTATGTTCAGATTGCTATGCCCACAGATTCTAGAAACAAATTTCCTTTGGAATGGTGGAAAACAGGCATTGCCTTTGTGTATGCTCTCTTCAACTTAATCTTAACGACTGTCATGATCACAGTGGTACATGAGAGGGTTCCTCCTAAGGAGCTCAGTCCTCCATTGCCTGATAAGTTTTTTGATTACATTGATCGCGTGGAATGGGCTTTTTCTGTATCAGAAATAAATGGAATTATACTAGTTGGATTATGGATAATCCAGTGGCTGTTCCTGAGATACAAGTAAGTAGTGCTGCTTATTTCATTTTTGTTATAAAAATGCATACTTTATACGGAATTATGTAAAGTTTTATATGCAATAATTTCTGGATTTGCAGAAGAAATAGTCTTGTAATGGTTGAGAAACTATTTCTGCAAGTCTGAAATTATGCAGTTACCTCAGTGAGGGTGGTTTTTATATAATCTTTTAAGTATCGTTTTTTCTAATTATCGGTGACTTATTTCTGATAAAAGCAATTGGAGTAATTTCTAACCATTTAATTTGTTGCAATAAAGGTATAGCCTCTTTATTTATGTGTAAACCAAAGCTGGTTTAGGCTGCGATCCCATATGCTGGGATGGAAAACCATGAAACTACAAGTGGCCGTCTGCAGCTCAAGGGTGTCTTAGCCACCTTCCACCCCAAATTTCTCTTCGAGCACCTGTACTGTATTTCTTTTGCTGCCTTTTTGGCTGCTGTAGCCCACTGAAGTCTCTGGTTTATCTCTGATGAATAAATTGAGAGGGAAAGTGCAGTATGGGGAAACAGAGTGGCAGGTAAGCAGCTGTGTTCCATGGTTTTGCTCAGGGGAACAAGGTGATTGCTCTGTTCAATCAAATTCTATTGGTTGCTTCAATAGCGTTCACTGGAGAGAAGTTAGACTACAACAGCCAATTCTCAGAGGGAATGGAAAGCCTTCCCTGACAAGGGAGGAGAGTTTTAAGATTCTGAGTCCCCACCCTCCATGGAGGTGATGTTAGGATGTGTTGCCCAGTTGTGTTATCACTTACCTAGAGGAAGGTCCTACTGAATTGGCAGGGCCTAAATCCTAATAGACATGTATAGGATTGCACTGTTAACCTGAAAGGAACCCAGCACCATAGTAATTAAAATGTGCTGCTGTCTCTCACTTCATGCATGTTAAATCCTCATGAAGAGAAACATTCTATTTTGTGCAAGAAATAAAACTCGATGATCTATGCACCTTCTCAGTGAAGAACAGGATGTAATCAATGTTGGCTCACAGGAATTGCCACTATTCTTCATTAGGATTTTTTCAGTGCAGTTGTAAGCACAGACTTGTTCCATTCAGAAGATTGTAGCACACTTAAGTTAGGTCTGTGCTGTGTGTGAATGGTGCAGAATTTGAAAATTCAAATTTCTGTCACAAAACGTTTTTGTAATGCTTTGTCCATTGTATTACTAGTTAGTATTAATTCATAAGAAGACTTCTGATGGATGAGACCAAAGATCCACGTAATCCAGCATGCTGTTTCACCTAATAGCCAGCTCACAGACATAGTATGAAGGTGTTAGCTGTTCCCCACCTTTCTAAAAGAGTTAACCAGTATGCACTTTTCCCTGTGAAGCTTCTGCTTCTTCATGAATGTCATTTTGTTATGGCTATATTGTCCGGTTATAGTGTGTGAATATGTATTTCACAGGAATACGTCATGTCCATAAAGATATAACACTATGAATATTCTCTGTTCATGTTTTTCCCAGATCAATAGTGGGACGAAGGTTCTTTTTTATATTGGGAACTTTGTACCTCTACCGCTGCATTACAATGTACGTCACCACCCTGCCTGTGCCTGGAATGCATTTTCAGTGTGCTCCAAAGGTAAACAGTACTTCATATAAATTATCTTTATTTTAGAAATGAATTGGCTTGGAATGCTTTATCCACCCAGATATTTCCTTCAGCTTCTCTCTGTGTTTTTTCCCTTTTTCCCTTCACTTAATCCTAGCTAAACGGAGATTCTCAAGCTAAAGTCCAGCGGATTCTGCGACTAATTTCTGGTGGTGGACTGTCTATAACAGGCTCACACATCTTATGTGGAGATTTCCTATTCAGTGGTCACACTGTTGTGCTAACGCTCACATACCTATTTATCAAGGAATGTAAGTTTATAAAATTCACAAATCTATTACTTTTTAAAGAATTGCAAAAATACCTAGAGTTGCTTCTCCAATTATTTTATACCAGTTTCAGTGTGCTACAATATCCATGTGTATACAAACCTACTATAATTTGCTATGAACTTGTAAAGTTTAAGTAGATGTTTCTGATATTGGAGTAATGAAAACATGAATATATTGACTCTTACTCTAGCATTAGTTATCATTTGGAAGCCTCTTAAAACTGTTCCATGTGGTAGCTTGTATTGCATGGCAGCTTTCCCCATTCTGGGGAAAGTTATTTTGGACTACACCTTCCATTATCCTTGAATATTGAACATACTGGCCAGAGCTAATTATTGTATCCAAAATTATATGGCAAGCAGTAGGCTGGAAAGGGTTGCCATGCAATACGGCTAAGGGATTTGTAGTTTGAAGCCAAAGCAAGTACTGTTCTATTATTCTGAAGCCTGAATGCAAGATGCTCCACTGATCTCTTTGAACAGGCATACTGCCAGTATAAAAGATGTTTCCTGTGTTCTCATCCCTGTTTATCAATATATTTAACTCCCTGGCCAGAGATGGCTGTGCAAGCTTCCTTCCATCCACTTGTCTTGCCATTTATTTTTGGAATGAACAATAAAGCACAGTGCTGTACTGCTTATTTTTTGAGTTAATTGCATAAGCTGGGTAAAAAAAACCTTAAATATGCACCGAGGCAGCTATCTTTCAAAAAGTTAAAGGAAATTAATAATTCTCAGATCTAATTTTGCTATCTTCTTTCCTTCCTGAACCATGATTACGTTTTGTGTGCTGCCATGCATAAGCGAGTGACATTTATGTTGTGGTCATAAATTATGGAAGGCAGGCAGGAATATAGTTGTGGATAGCATTAAGTTTTTTGAGTGAATGGAATGATGAAATTGATATTTTTGACCTTATGCTTGGGGGCAACGAATTGTTGTACTGCAATTTTAAATAATGTTCCTCTGAGTTCTTAAAATGTGGTTTAAGAAGAGAAGGCATTCTGACCTACTCCTGGTTTTTCTTGGTATTACCTTGCTTCTTCAGTTTGCAAGAAAATGATATTTCAGGTAACAAAGCTCCCAGCAAGTGTAGGGAGGAGAATAATATGAGTTACAAGTGGTAGCTGACAATTGTGGGCTAAGTGGTACCATTTGGTGGGCTTGATTGAAACCCAGGGTGACCAATGGCAAACTAATGGATTACCATTTTTATAAAGGAATGACAGTGTGGTCTGATGTGATTCAGGCAATGACCTGATCAAATGCCATGGTGCCATTTCCTAGGAGTTTAACCCAGGAATTGCATGGTCAAGCAAAATATGCAAGCCATGTGCTGATTTTTTTTCCCTTTAATTAAAACCAGGAATGCTCTGTTTTGTGTTTGTTTTGTAATGTGTGAGCCCAGAACTCTGTGTTGTTTATGGGTTTAAACAAAAACAAAAACAGAGTTTACTCAACCACAATTCATGGGCAATTTTCTGATTAAATCTGGGTTGTTTAACTCCTAAGCAACCTAGAATTTCTGGGTTGATATGTCACACAACAAGCCAGGAATATTTGGGTTATTTAATTAAAAGTGGAAACAATGCTTCTTCGTTGTGGCCTCTGTGCATCACACATATGGGTGCTGCGCCTGCACAGTGCCTTTGGCCGGAAGATTGAAAGCTAATGGTTTTTGGCGGGAAAGCTCTGCTCCCCCTCCTCCTATAGCCTATAAAGAGTGGAGCGTCCGCCATTTTGTTCAGTCTTTGCGGCCGCTGTTCATTGTGCCTCGTGCCACTTTTGGGTTATTTAATTAAAAGTGGAAACAATGCATGCATGACTCATGCCCTCCACTCATTCCCAATTCTGGGTTAAACAACCTAGAACTTAACACTGTGATGCAGGCTTTCCACCCAGCCCTACAATTTCTGGGCTAAACCACTCAGGTATTTCTGCTATGATGCACAAATTAATTCTGTGACATAGTAATGAACACACAAAGCTGCTATTGATCTTTCTAACTTAGTTCTATCTACTATCCTAGAATAGTGGCTCTCTGAGCTTCTGTCCTAGGCAGAAATCCTTCCCTGCCAGAGAATTCTAGCTGATCAAGTGACTAAATCTGAGCTCTTCTGCATACAAGAGGTGTGCTCTGGCATATCCCTCAGTTGTACCAGTTTGTGGTGTGAATCATAATGGGCAGCTATAGGAAATGTGCACTCAGCTACCATCATGGTACAAATTGTGCAGACTAGTTAAACAACTAGCCTTCAAATGTTTGTTTTCTACAAATGTTACAAGAAATAACTTTCGCTCAAAGTCTTGGCTCAAAGCACAAAATTAAGTATGAATGGTCTTGTGTGTGTGCATCCTCACAAAAAAGGATGCACGTGCATATATTTGTGTATACCTTTGCGGGTGTATACCCAGGGCATGGTCTGGAAGCCCATGAAACCTTCATCTTGCTGGAGCTAATCAGGTCTGGGTCTGGCCAGTGCCTGGAAGGAAGACAACCTGGGAATTGCATGTGGTCACTTTGAGTTTCAAGTTAGAAGAAAAATGGGCACTAGATAAACAAATAAAATTGCATCATATCTGTCATTGCAGATACTGTTCCCACATTCAACTTGTTTTGTGCTTTTCTTTTTGAACAGACTCACCTCGTCACTTTTGGTGGTATCACTTGATCTGTTGGTGTATGAGTGCAGCTGGAATAATCTGTATCCTTGTAGGACATGAACATTACACTGTAGATGTTGTCATTGCCTATTATATCACCACAAGGCTATTCTGGTGGTACCATGCAATGGCTAATGAAAAGGTGAGTAATGGTCATGCCAACTTCAAAATTAAAGTTGGAAGCTTGAGTTCTTTATTACTATTCTGCAAAATATTTAGGGTTGTATCCAGTGTTAGTCCTACTCAGAGTAGACCCATTAATTTTGCTGAGTCAACTTTTAAATAGGACTACCACTATATATAACCACAATGTTCTGAATTAAACTAGAGTTCAAGGCATTTCTCACTTTCCTTTTGAAATGTATCAGTCTGCTCTTGGTAGTTGGATGACTCAATAGATGGGAAAAAGCAGTATAATACAGAAACGGCAAACCATAACGCAGTCCATTTGAATTCAAAAGGATTAACAGTCCAGGCCCATGCATATATACTAAGGGTAAAACCTAATTATTTAAATGGTACTTGTTCCCAAGGAAATGTATGTAGGAGTACTACCTTAATCAATGCTTTGCACACCATTTATTCATTAATTTATTTCATTTGTATATCATCCCATAGCCCAGGGGCTTTCTGGCCAGTTTACAATAAAATACCATAAAACCAACAATAGAACAAAATAATCATTCAGTAAAATTCATTTAAAAAATGGCAGAGAAATATAAAAGTGAGGCCTGAAGCAATCAAAGATAAAAGCAATGTTAAAAGCAAATTTAGTCACCACAGCACCTGGAAAATAAGACCTTCACCTAGTGCTGAAAAGAAAGCAGTGAAGGCGCCAGACAAACCTTTCTAAGAAGCTTATTCTACAGATGGGATGTAACCAAAGGGAAAGCCCTCCACCTTTGTATTAAGTACATGCACATTACACTTGCACAACTGATTGCCCAAATGTTACTTGAAATGGAGCTTCCTTTTGTATGCAGTTCAGCTCCTAGTTTCCTCTAGTGCAGTGCTATTTTCGTTGATGGGGTGACACAGTTGGATACTTCCTGTTAGGTTGTGATACCAAAACGCTGTTAAAGATAATGGAAGATAATTTTATCTTTGACCACAGATTATTACTTACACAGTTGGCATTACTTTCTGCAAGATAACATTCTGTATGTTATAGTTGCTTTATATTCTAAGTGTCTGTGAAACTATATCATAAGAAGCAGGTTTGTGTTAAATAATGCAGTTGGCAGGCAATTTCAGTGGAGTGTTGGGAAGCTATAAAATTTGTAAGCATTTTAATATTCCTCTGGTTCTATCTATGTTGATCCTTCAAATCTACCAGAATTTCATTTGCTTAATTATGAATTAGTTAAAGGTGACAAGGGTGGCATTTTAAATATGAATATTGAATGTTGCTCTTAAAGGTAGGTGGAAAACGAAGTGAAGACAGTGTTTCATTACAATAGAAACACTGAGGTGAACAAACTGATCAGAAGGATCCTCATGTAGTTCTATGTATGAAGTTGTACAAGCCTGGGCATATCCATTACTTGAACAGGAGTACTGCCTAGGAACCCCATGCATGGCAGTCTAATCTCCTGGGAGGAGGAGATTAATAGAGTATAAATCAATAGTACCTCGTCTACTTTCATTTTACTGAATTCTGTTTCAAATAAGATCAGATATAAGATAATCCTGCACAAAAAATAATTTGGTGTGTAAAGGATAGGGAGACGCTGCTGTGCATTACCCTGTTTGATTCATTGTTAGTCTAGTTTCAGGCATTTGTGTCCATGAAAGTGCTGTCCATTTAGGAGTATTTCTAGTGACTTTGCGGCTTTTTATATAACCTAAACAGGATCTTAATATATATTTTCCCCTTTTAATGCAGAACTTGAAAATCTCATCACAGACAAACTTTCTGTCTCGAGCATGGTGGTATCCAATATTTAATTTCTTTGAGAAGAATGTACAAGGCTCAGTTCCTTCTTGTTTCTCATGGCCAATATCTTGGCCCCCTAGCTGTTTCAAGTCTTCATGCAAAAAATATTCCCGAGTACAGAAAACAGGAGAGGACAATGAAAAATCCACCTGAAGAAAGTGAAGGAAAGAAAATGGATCAACTCTACTTTTACCAAAAGCACTTGCGCTATAACCAAAGTTCTTAAGATGACTAGATTGTTAACTGAAAAAAAAATGGACCAAACTTTGTGCAGCTGATCTGAGAAAAGGCAACACTCAAAATAATTATTATCCCCGGTATGTTTTTCTAGTCATATTGTACAGTTCCAACCCACTCTTCAGTGCCAGTAGATGCTGGTACTCCGTGACACTCTAGTGGCAACAGAATACTTCCTGAGAAGAGGAGCCAGGACGTTGGTTTCTTAATGAGATTAAGAGGTGCCAAAGAAATCATCACACCATCTGTTGATAAATACCACTTATCCACAGAAGCACCAAAACAGCATATCAGCTTCAGACTTCTGGAGTTGTGCACAGTAAACACTGAAAGGTGTAATATTGGTTTCTTTAACAACATACAAAACAGCAGAAATTGGTAGGCAGGGGTTTTATTATTCTCGCTAGTGAAGTCAAGGCCTGTGTGTTGGGTAACTGGTGAAACCAGAAGTGAGCCTTGATCTTTTTATATTCTTTTAAAAAAATGAATATACTATGACCCTGTAATGCCACCACAGTTTCCATATACTCTATCCTCTATTGACTTTTACATTTTTAATAAATGGTAATTTTATATATGAAAATAAAACTTACTGTACCTGATGATACTGTAAGTTAGAAATAATGTCTACTAACATCATCAGGGTCCTCAAAAGGAAAACTAATTTATTGTTAAAATACATATATGTAAGTCAAGAGAATTATTTAAATTTCTGCAGGTCAGTTACCTTGCATGAATATGTGGCATGTGTGAGAACATATTTTGAGTATATACTTTATAGAGAATGCTCAAAATATGGAGGATTTACAGTCATATTCTGCAGTCACAGAATTCTGACACTCCTTCAGGCAATGAGAACTATACAAGAGCCACTTATGCACTGAATCCGCTCTAGAGGGTTGAGCAACCTTTCAAGACCAAATGGGAGGTGGTGTGAAAGGTTACAAGGAGGAGGGGAACCACCACAAATTGTATCCCGTTTTGTATTCCTGACAGGAGCCTCTGAGGGATCAAAAATCTATTATCTTATAGTGGAATGGAGGGTCACCAATTGGATACAACCCAGTTACAATTATGGAACAGGAGATAATCTACACCTAGCAGTCTGCCAGTATTTTCAGTTGATGCTTGAAGGATTGTCACCATTCTCTAGTGATTGTTGCTGTAAAACGTGCACACGACCATACATTTATACATGCATTGGCAAATAATAACTGAATTTAAATAATGCATTTATCAGCTATAGGAGGCAAAACTTTGGTTGATCCTCCAGTGGCTTCTTGTGTAAACAGGCTCCAAAAATGATTTTTTGAATGCTTAAAAAGAAATGTTATGATTTTTGCAGAAACTAGAGAACACTGAGCCAGATGTGATACATTTACAGATGAACGTCGCTTTTGTTTTTTCCTTGGCATTAATTTGAATTGTCGTGCCAAGGTTGTTCACTGCAATAGGTGTGGTTTTGTTTCACTATTACCTAACACTATTTATTATTAAATGGTCATGTGGCCAGTCTTCTACCTTTTTTGTTTTCTGGGTTTGTTTGGGCAAAGTGTCTCTTCATAATATAAACTTAGTATGTGGAAACACCCTAACTTTTTATTAAGCAGGAAAGCTAACATGGCCCCACTTCTTTTGTTCTGTTTTATATAGGAATCAAACAGTGCCATTAGCATTACAATATCTAGCAGTTAAATATGCTGTATTTTTCCTTGTTACCAAATGCTTTTATAAAAAAAAAACCTCAGTAAAAGCAACATTCAGAAAATAATTATTTGAATGTGCCTTACTCAAATCTGTTACTATAATTTTAAAGTAATGCTGAGAAGACTATCATTAAATAACAAGAGAACCCTGTTAGATCATTTGCTGACTTAATATTCAGAAAGTACAGTGCCTTGCAGAAGTATTCACCCTCTTTTACTTTTCCATGTTTTGTCATGTTACAACTTGGAATGCTTTTAAGGCTTTGTTACTACCTGATGTTCACAATATTCACAACACGGTGAAGGTGCAAAATATTTTTACTGTGGCATAAAAATAAACTTGTGTTTGTTGATTGCATAAGTATTCACCCTCCTGAGTCAATACTTGGCAGAAACATCTTTGGCAGCAATCACAGTTTTGAGTCTTCTTGGGTAAGTCTCTGCCAGCTTTGTGCATCTGTATCCTGTGATGTTTGACCATTCTTCCCAGCAAAACTGCTCCAGGTCTGTCATATAGGTTGAGGACCATTGAGAAACGTGACCATTGAAGAACTTGGATTGGACCATTCTAAGACATTCAGGTTCTTGTTCTGAAACCACTGCATGTGTGGTTGACCATGTGTTCAGGGTCATTGTCCTGCTGGAAGGTGAATTTCTACCCCATTCCAAAGCCCTTGCAGACTAAAACAGGTTTTTCTCTAGCGTTATCCTGTGTCTGGCTCCAACTATCATGCACCCATTCTTAACCAATTTCTGCCCCTAAAAGTCATCCCTACTGCATGATGCTGCCACTACCATTATCTTCCATGGGGATGATACGCTCAGGGCAATGTGCAATGTTGGCTTTGTGTCACACAACATTTTGCAGCGAGTTCAGTGTTGCTATTATCAGACTAGAAAGCAGTTTTCCACATGTTTGCTGTGTTTCTCACATGCCTTTTTGTAAACTGCAAATAGCTTTGATATGGTTTGTTTCAGCAATGGCTTTTTCCTTGCCACTGTTCCGCAAAGCTAGGTGAAACAGTGAGTGATGGTTTTTCCATGGACATTTTCTCCCATTTCAGCTATGGAGCTCTCCAGCACCTTCAGCATTACCATTGGCCTCTTGGCTGCTTGGTGGAGGGCCTTCTTTAGGCAAACTCACCACTGAGCCATTTTTTTCCATTTTGTAATGATGGCTTTACCAGTTCTCTAAGAGATGTTCATATTCATGGATTTTAAAAAAAAAGATCCAGCTATGATTTGTGCTTCTGTACAACTTCATCCAAGAGATTATAATGCTGTTTGCAAAAATAAATATACTCTGCAACAAATTCAAAATAAGGTGTATGAACCTGAGAACCCCATTTAACGATTTACGGCATTTTTAGAGGCAGTGGGCTGCAGGAGAGTTTGTTGCAGCAGGTGAATACTTAGCAAACAAGAAGCTCCATCGTTCATTGTTGCCGGATTAACATTTATGCCACAATACAAACATTTTGCACCTTCACAGTGTTGAGTAGCTTGTGTGCATCACGTGGTAGCATGCCAGTTAAATCCATTTCAATTTTACACTGTAACACAACAAAGGTGAAAAGTCAAAGGGGATGTATCCTGCAAGGTATTTGTCAGTCTGAATGTTTGTTCCTTTTCCACAGCTAATTTTATCCTTGGTCAATAAGCTTGGCTGCAGCAAATTGTAGCCTTTCCCCATTTGGTGCCCTCTGGATGTTCTGCAACTATTTGCATTCCTTGCCATTGGCAGTGTGGGCTAATGCTGATTGGAGTTGAAGTCCAAAACCTCTGAAGGGTACCAGGTTGGCAGCTGTTCTAGTACAGTAAATAATGCATTCTGAGAATAGAAGATAGTCAAGTTTCATTAGTTAGCCAGATGCCTTTTACAGGTTTTCTTTACTGGGACTATTTAACAATATTCACCTACTCTCAGGTCAGTTCCTGACACATTCACAAATTTTCTATGTTAATAACTAACAAGACCTTTTAGTAAACAAGGAGATGTTGGGGCTGATAAAATGACAGGGCTTAATTTAAAACATAAGGCTAAAATGGACCTTATTTGTGTTTGTCCCCATTGTCCCTCATTGTGTTTGTCCCTCATTACACTGGCAAAAATTCAGAGAAATATAAGGGGAAAACTGAAATATGTAGAAGGACTCCTTCCTAACCAGCAGCTTTTGCACAGCAGCTTCAAACATGGAAAGGTATATATCCAAAAAACAGTTCTGAGTACTCAGCCTGTGCTGATTATCATGTGTGCATGTAAGCCAATATATACATGCATTTGTGCATAGCAGTTGACACCTTGTTATTTTTCTATAACAAAAGTGTTTCTCATGTTATCTTTGAAGCAGCCCTCAAGCGGAACTGAAACTTGAATGTTTCAAAAGTAAATAGGGGCGTGACAGCATAAATAGGAGCGTGACAGGCTTCTGTTTTAAGCAAAACTGTTGGTAGACACAACATAATGGTAAAAATTCAGAAGAAACAGATGTCGAAACAGTACCTTTCCTCAAGTCTTTTATTTGCCTTCTAAACTTAAAATTAGGTTAATGTGGAAGTACGGAGGGACAACCTAGATCTGAAAGCAACATCACTAACACATGTGCACATTGCCTCACTGGGTTGGGTGCCAATGAGTGGTCCAAAGTTGGGCCAGTTGATGTTCTACAGGAATTTGGTGAAACCTATGCTCACAGTCATTTGCTTTAGTGTGCGTCTAGGAGACCATAGGATATTTTGAAATATCCTGTAAGGTCTTCTTACATCTGGGCTCACACTCTAAGAGCATGCACCCACTTCAGCTCTTTGTAGCCCGTGCAGAAAGAGCTGTGCCAATCCCACCACCAGGCTGCAACTGGGCCTCTAGAGGGTGAGAAAGCTGCAGGGCAAGTGGCGCGAGAGATGGGTGGATGACCGAGCTGTGGAATTGCACTGATAGTAATGGGCGCCCAGGCCTCTTTCGCTCCCCTTCACCAGCCCGTCATCTAGACAACTAAAAATGGCTCTCTAAATAAAATACAGGGTGCAAAGCAAAGCAGTGACAACAATTGTTATTGCTATACCTTGCGTTGCATGCTCATAATTTTCAAAGGGAGTTAAGCACACTTGACTTTTAAAAAAATTGCTTTCAAAACTAAAATGCACACCAATGGTATTCAAATAGAGTATTTTAACTGATTGGACCAGTATATTTTTGAAGAGAAAATGAGTTTAATTAGATGATACTTGCTTCAAGAATCTGGTGAAATTTGAGTGACTTTGTTTCTGATCCTTTTGGTTTGAATGTGAGTGGTTAAATTTGAGAACAAATGACTATCAACTTAGATGGCAAGTAAAATATGACTCAGTGAGATGGAGGAACACTCTAGGAAATAATACTCTGTCTGAAAGCTACTTAATTGATTAACCACCTGACAAATGCAAAAAAACATTGTGAGCACAATTCTTGAACAAGCATGTTCTGATTCATTGCAGGGGGATTTCTCTGTACAATTGAGCATAGTTATACAGTAACAAACATAATGGCTGTACAGTCCATGCACAGCTTAAAGCTGGCAGGTTAAATCTAGTGGACTCCCCAAGGGCTTAAAAAAACCCTCCTGTTTTTGTTGCCTACCTAGGCCTGCAAAAAAGGGGATTCTTCAATGCCGTATAGCCACCCAATATATGCAGCTGGTAGGCTGCATTTAGCTAAATGATCCCAAGTTATGAAGGCTGCATCTATCGTTTTCCTGCCAAGCATTTTAACCCTTTCCAAGAAAATTTTAAAGGTATGCAGCCCCCTGGTTGAACGTAATCCTAAAAGATACATATACATACACAAACAATACATATACATAGGAGGGATTTCAATAAAAATTTCAATATCTACTGAAGACAGTAAGAATACTTGTATGCTCCATAAAGCCATTTTCTGGTATCAAAGCAAAGGCAGGTTCCAGGCACATCCAGAAATGAGATTGAAATGCTTTTTAAAGATGTGCTTAAGGTTAACTAGTGTAGTAAGGTAGATGTAGAGGTAATTCCAGGAATCAATCAATAGCATACACAGAATCACTACTGTGCTCACAACTGATCCTTTTTGTCAAGCTGGGCAACTTGCAACGTTCCAACTTTGCAGTTGTTGGCTGCTGTTGATGGGAACTGCTGTCCAACATCTGGAAGACTACAAGTTGCTCACCCTGGTTGAGGGTCTTTTTTGGGGGAGGCAGTTTGTTTTTGCTTTCTGCTAGTCTATGGATTAAGTGGATTAAATCTTTCTTAAATCCATCAAGTACCAATCCATTTGTAATTTCTTGATCATATTTGGTTTGCTGGTGTGTGTGTGTGTGTGTAGAAGTTTCTCTGATATCAGTGAAGTGCCTCTGAGAACACTTATGAAATACTAGGTACTGTTTTAGGTGCTCATTTGTTTAGGTGCTTACTAATCAACATAACCCTATGCCTGTTTAAAAAGGAGAAAGTTCCACAAATCCCAGCATTCCTGAGCCATCCATACTGGCTTCAGGAACTGGGAGTTGCAGGCCTTTCTCCTTCGAAACATGCACACAAATGTACCTTAAAGCTAGAAGTATCATTAACCAATATGGGGATGCCGCAATTGGCCCCCCAGTGGACACACATGGCACTGCAATCCTCCGAAGCTGATCACTTCCACTAAGAGGTGCAATTACCTTTTTACTTACAGTATTGCAGTTTTTATATGTCTTTCTAATTTAGGCCATTCTGACTATATATGTATTTTTATATAAAAAGCACAGGAATTTTCAGATGGCATCTAGGTAAGATGTTTAAATTAGTGCCCATGATCTGCC